AGAGAGAGAGAGAGAGAGAGAGAAAAGTAACAAAAAGTACAGAAATCCACCTCACCTTCTCCCAGTCCACAGCTCCGGTCTCCACCGTCCCATTATGCAGCAAGTTGTCTCTCTTTTCTCTCAGCGCCTGTTCACGAAGACGAAACCACAACTGAGTTTCCATCGGCATCTTGGACACGTGATCATAACCACCACTGATGTCACCAGCACTTCTCGACTGACTGCTTGAAAAAGGGCGTAATCCGGAACCACTGAACCGGGACTCCACACCATTGGGTGACGGTTCAGATTCAATTCTTCGTCTTTTACCTGCTGGTTCTGGAGCCATGTTTTCGGCCAGCTGGTGACCAATGTCGCTGAATGAAGGGACGGGGACGGAGTGAGCTGACCAGCCAGCAGGGTTGATCCATGGTACGGGTGGCGTCAGTTGAACTCTGAAGTGATTTTGCTTCAGCGGTGAGTTTTGTGGCATGGTAAAACTTTTGGGCTATGCTTGGACGATTCCTGACACACGGTGACAGAAAGAAAAAAAAAAGAAAATGTAATTATTAATTAATTGATTTAAGGTAAGGAGTAGAACTGGCTCGCTCTTTGTTACAACTTGTATGTTGTGCAAAAAGCGTCCAAGAATGGCGTCTTCATGCCTATCCATGTGTTAGAGAAACTTCATTTGTCTTTTCCAAATTGCTTTTATCAGCGAGCGGCCCAAGCGGGCTTTCTTAAGTACATTTGATTTCTTTTTCTTCCACTAAATTCTCAGCAGTTTCCCAATAAACCACATGTCTATTGCTTCTATTATATTTTCACTGTTTTTTGGGGTGATTAGCCAACATTTACAGCCATAATATAAAAAGGTTGACCACACGTAGCATTTTAGATCTTTCATGTTTGTGGTTATTGAGATATTTCTATTTTTCAAGATTCGGCTCATTTTATTGAAACTGTCTTCTTCCACCATTGCAATAGTACTGATCAGAGACCGTAAATACTGAGACGGTGCAATCATTCTTCGGCCTTTGCGCGCTATCGGAGAATCGAGGTTAGCGACTGCGCGCGTTGCTCTGCGCATTAATGAGCTCACACAACACACGAGTGGTACTATAACCAGAGCTGGTAGTAACGGAGTACAAGTACTCCGATACTTGTACTTACGTTACAATTTTCGGTACTTTTACTGTACTTCGGTACATTTTGAGAATCAGTACTTTTACTGTACTCCGATACTTTTTATAAAAGTACTTTTGAGTACTTTTCAAGTACATTTTGAGTACTTTTGAAGCTTAATGAAAGAATAAGTGCCGACATTTCCGAGCATAATTTACGGAACAAACACCCGGGCGGGCACAGCCGATCAACCAAGAGTTAAAAGTTGAGATTAAAGAACTGCCCGTCGCGTCAAAGATCAGCCACTCTTGTGAAAGTGATCACATGTGCTGTAAAACTCCATGAAACGGTACAATGATCCCCAGACGGGATCACACCGAGGTGTGAACAGACCGATGGGCGTTTCTTTTCCCCAAACATCGCACTCGCATCTGAGCTCGCCACCTGAACTTTCATCCCTCGCTGGGTGGGTTGGGCCTACAAGTTCGCCCCAGGCAGGATCACATCGAACTGTGAACTCTTCCCTGACCATTGAAGTTGAAGGCAGTTTTTCTCTATTCCCGAAACTGCGAGACAGCCTGAATTTTAATTGGTGTGGTCACAGAGTAATGGTACGTAACGACAAAGGCGGGGGGACTCAATCAGAGATGGAAGGCTACAATTTTTGGACAGGTAAAGGGGAGGGGCAACTGGATAAACGTAGATAAAGATCTCGAGACGATATGCTAATGAGTGTACGGTATAATATTATGATTTATGGCTTGCCTCATGCCACCATGCTACTGTGATTGGTCATCAAGGATGACCACTCTTTGCTCGCCATATGTCATAAACCTACCCAGGGGTCACGTCAGTTCTTGGGTCACTGTAGATTCTTCCTTAGCTTCGTCGGGCTAAGATCCCATATTTCCCTTGCTCCCGAGCAGTGGGATCTTAGGCGGAGACTACTGTAGTAGAGAATTTTTGTTTACACTACACTTACTAGACTCTAGGAAATTACATGTAGGCCTATTTTGGTTTGCCGTGGGCGCCGTGGACTACACAGTGTGACCAAACTCTGTCTTACCACTATTATAATCAGTTGAACTGAAATCGAGTTCTCAATGTATATCAATCTAACAATTTTTTAGGCTACCTAAATTTCTTTTTTCCTTTTTTGTGGTTTGTGCTTAAGACTACCTTGATTCCTTGAGAATTTGTTAAAGAATTCAAAGCATTTTTTTTTGCTGGCCATTTTCATCAATTTTTTATTTTCTTAGGTCAACTTTGTCTCTACATTTTCCAATTTTGATACTTTTCCTACTTTCCGACCCCTAGGACTGACTTACATTAGATCATTTTGTCTTGCTCAAACAAATTCTATTCATAATATCACTTACTCACTAGTTGTGTCTGTTTGTTTGCTGGTTGTTGTTTTTTTTCAATTTCACGGACAATTTCCACCTACGTTCAGTGCGTATATTCAAATGCTTTGTATACTGTTTACATTATTAGTAATAAATGGCCGAATTTGTCAAATATACTAGATATGTTATTCAATATGATGATTTGCATTTTGAAGTGTTTTAGCATATTAGCAGAAAGTACTCAAAATGTACTCATAAGTACTTTTTTTAAAAGTACTTGTACTCAAGTACATTTTACAGGAAAGTACTTTTACTGTACTTAAGTACATATTTTAGATTGTACTTAAATTTGTACTTAAGTACCTTTTTAAAAGTACTTTAACAGCTCTGACTATAACACGAGCTGTGGGGTGACCAGTTGGCCCCATTTTAGTATTTTATATACGTTCATGAAGATACGTTTATATACCTAGACTCAAATGTTGTGGAAAGATATGAATAAGTTAAAATAAATTGATACAAACTGCTGTGCACAGTTTAGGTTACATTGATTCACCCCTTAAACCGATGTTTGAGTACAAGTTGCATCATGAATTGTTGACTGTCCTGTAAAGATCATCGAGCAGCCTGACGTTAATAAATACACTGACTCATAGTCCACTATGTTGTATTTGCAGGAATCACCTTTGTTTTCAATTACGTTTGGCTCCTCGAGCATTTTCAACTTTAGATTCTGTCTACTGTGCGCTCTGTTCATCGAAGGTTTAAAATGCGTTTTAAAAAACCCTGCTTCAAACAAACTAACAATTTCCACAAGTTTATAACTGGCTTTTTTAAGCCACCGTGACGACAATGCTCAAACTGTTTCTGGCTGATGAGGACCAGTTGCCTTGCATGGGAAGATGAGGAATCTTCTAATATCCCTGTACAGTCCTTGCAGACTACATTGTATCGTAAAGTTTCTTCTAAGTGTATCCACTTTCGTCAGAAATTTCATTTTTAAGTGCATTGCATCTTTAATGTATTGCAAAATTTAACAAAATTAACAATGTGTCTGTGTTCTTTATCAAGGTCTACTTGAATTGCAACTATTGTTTGACTGAAATTCTTACTCGTTAGATTTTGATTTATTAAAAAGCTATCCACTGCATCCCTGCAACTGCTTGAAGGCAATGCGATCATAATTTTGTTGGCCATTATCTGTCTCTTCAAACAAAAATGTAACTGTTGTTGGGGGAGGGGGGGGGGGTCTGGATTGTTAAGACATGCCCTCCGTTTCCTCTCTTAGTGACTGAGAACAGATGTTCAAGTTCATCTTGATATCAGTGTAAGTAATCCAAGACCTTGCAAAGCAGTGATGTTGTGGATCCACTCACTGACTCATATGAAAGCTTTTGCAACTTTCTTTTTGTCTTCTGGGCCAAACTTCATGAATTATCTTTCAACCACAGAAGTGTCTGCTGCAAAAATTCATGATGCTGTGGTGTGGTTGTGACTGGGTTACGATATCCGACAGAGAATGACACAAGTGACGAAATGAAAACGTTGAAAAGATCATCAAAGTTATTACAGAAATCAGATATAGCGATGTCAGACAAAGGATTAATTCCAAGATACATATAGTGTCCCTATTTAATTGCTTTTGTTACACTGCGACTAAGCACGTGCACAGCCAAACAAACCCTTTGTCGTCCAAAACTTGACACACTGTTGGTTAACTTGGGTGCCACCCTGAATAAACCTAAGGCACTGTCTTTTTCATAGAAATTTTCAATAACTGCCCAGCTCGTAGTATCATCATGATGAGTAGGCCCACAGAAATTGTGGTAGATCAACAAATTGTTTCTAATTTTTAATTAAGTGTGGGGGATTTATCACCCTCGTTATGAAAAAAAGGCTTTTCGGGGGTGAGACTTAGTTCAGTGTTCTAAGGCCGTCTGGTGGTATGGGCCTTGGTCCCACACAAGCCTTCACCTTCAAACCAACATAATTATTTAAAGCTTTTAATTGTCTCTAAAAATGGCACAACGAACTGCACTACCCGCACCAGGTGCGCACTGATAAGGAAGCAGGTCAGCGTTTGACCGTAGGGTGACGCGCAGACACTCCTCCCAGGAGTTTCGTGAGCTCGCACGCTCTCCCCTCCCCCCCCACCTCCCCAATTGCTATATCATGATATTTATAATCATTGGGCTGGGTAGCAGCAAGATTTCTTGTAAAATGACTCATAAGGCGAATGGTTCTTTACATCTCACGCACGTAGTGTTTTAGGTTAAACAAAACAAAGCAACAACAAAAAAAACAAAAACAAAACAACAAATAACTGAGCAATCATATCTCTGAAATTTCACCACTGTCATAAATAGAATGTAAGAGCTTTGTTGTTATTTCAGTGAATATTCTTCTAGTTTGATAATCACTTCAACTGGAATATCATCTGATCCTGTGGCTTTTCCTTGTTTTATTTTCTTGATAAAACTTGTACTTCTATTTTCAGTAGTGATGGTTCATTTATACCTTTCATTATAACCGGTTTTCCTCCTATGTTATCTTTGAAAACTTTTTCTAGGTATTCTGACCATCTCTTTATGTCTTTCCATCTTCTCCTCGTGATCTTATGCACTCTGTATTTGAGCGTACATGTACTTTTGTCCCGCCGACTTCTTTGGTTTTAAAATGCATATCTTTGTTTTGATTCTTCTCTACTTGATGATTCTGATCATTTATCCCTGTTTATTTTGCTTCTTTATGTTTTTTCTTTATTGCCATTTTACATTCGATTTCGCCTGCTTTGTCTCTTTCATTTGTTTTACAAAGAGCTGGTCATCATTTAAAAAATATATTTTGGCTTTTGGAGAAATATGTTCTTTCACAGTTTACTTAGTTGAGTCTTTAAGTTTCCCACACAGCATAGTTCCACCGATGTAGTATTGTTATCTATAGCGTGAAATTGATTATTCAAATCTACAGAGAATCAGTTATAATCAGTTAAACCTGCCAAGACGACAAATTCCTTCGCCCCTTACGTTTTCCCCCTCTATGAAATGACACTGCGTAAGATAATACCCTGTCCAACATTGTCTCTATATCAAAACTCTTTCAACCAACAGGGAAAAAATAACATAAAATAAGATGGCCACGTGGATCTTTCATCACCCGACGCATTACCATTAATCGTGCAGTATCGGTCCCATACGCTGCGGACGAGCCATTCACATGTCGTTAATGTTAGTCCCTCCAATGAATAAAACGATTATCGTGCTTAGTCCCTCCCACAGTTTACCCAAGTTCACCAGTCGGTAACAAAATTCCAACTCCTGGTCAGGGAGGCGTGCATACTGTCATAATCCCCGCCCTCAACCTCCCTCAACAACAGTACGAACCTCTGCCATACACAAACACAAACCACAAGTGAGATGAGGGACGCTCTGTTAACCCAGTCGGTAACAAAGAAGGTCAACATGAACTTGCTACATTTTCGTGCATCTAGTAGTGGAGACACATTGTTTGTTTTCTCCAAGTTACTCAGTCTTTCTCACCTGACACATTTCGTTATATCTTAACCTTACATTGCTCTGTCATTCTTGTCTGATTCACTTCGTAGAATTTAACATTAGCAGCATTTGCAAAACCTCACTCCCCCCCCACCCCCTTATTAAAAGTAATGGGCCTTGTGACAGTCTGAAGCTTGCGATTTCAGAACGGAATGGTGTCTTTGAGATATACATGACAATATGAACTTGTGTTTTCGAGCACATGTCTATTTTTAATTTAACGTCAATATCTATTGACATGAACAGGCAGTTTCCCAGGTACGCAGGGCATTTTTTGCGCGTCCAGAAGTTGAAAGTTAACATTTTTAAAAATCAACTTCCTATTTATTATACCTTTAAAATGCAAGGTATGACGACATAAGCTTAAAACGAGTCACACTGTAAGTCATCATATTCTTATGACTCAATACGCTTTTTTTGTGTTGACAAATACAAAGACACAATAGTAAAGCTTGGGTCAGAGCCATTTACCTTTGTATAATTAAACCAAATTGACACAAGATCAATGGTGATCGTTTGATAGCAATAGAAATTGATGCAGGCAATCCAAAAATGTCTGCTTAGAGGATGATATATTTGAGTTGAACGAGTAGGTCCATGTATTAACATGGAAAAATAGCACGTGGCATCACAGCCGCTGGCCAAAGAGAGGACAGTTGAGGCGACAAGTTCACTGAAACCTTCAGTTACATAACGACAGTCTAGACTCACCGTGCCCTAGTTTACAACAAAGTAACATTACCTCTAGACTTCTAAACCTCCTACCCCCCCCCCCTCACAAAATCACCACCCTGAACTGTTCGTTCCTTTGTACAGGAGGTTTTTTTGGGATTTTTAAAAAGAGATTAGGGTGTGGTTCGTTGGCAGGTGCTCTTGTGTGGTTTGCTCCTTCTTTCCTTTCGAACACAATACAATTATCGTCCTAATCAGATACACATGTATCTGTCCTCTTTCTTTTTGTTGTCCATGTTACTCTCTTGTATTACCTCTAGTCTTCGGCTTTTGTATAACCTTATTGTGTTACATGTGTCGTTAAATCCTTACAATGACCAAATAGGAAAAAAAAGAGACGAAAGAGAGAGAGATAAGGAGAGTAAGAGAGAGCGAGAGAGAGCCAGAGAGAGAGAGAGAGAGAGAGAGAGAAAGGGGGAGGGTGAGAGAGATAAAGAATGAGAGACACATGGAGTATTTTGACAGAGAGAGTGGGGGAAGAAGAAGAAGAAGAAGAAGAAGAAGAAGAAGAAGAAGAAGAAGAAGAAGAAAGGTTCCACCAGCCGGCTTTACTTTTGTAGACAATAATCTTAAAGAAGAAATCTATCAATGACACTCACGGTTTTAGCAGTCGCTGTCAGTGCTGACTACTCTAGTACTCTCTCCCGGAGTTCTTGATCTTGGAGGCTTCGATGACACACACGGTTTTGTGACGTCAGTTGTGTGTGAGCAGCACAAGATTCTGTGACGTCAGTTGTGAATAAACAACAAGGAACGGCACACAGAAGGTCTCTTTACCTGATACCTCAACCGCCGAAAAATAAATTTACAGAGGATACCGAACACGTGTTACACAACAACGGGTGAAACAATCTCTTGGATTAATATCGCGAAGGTCTATCATGTCGTTCACATGAAACCACTGGAAACTAATCCTTTTTGGAAATCTTTTGACAACAATGTCGACAAAAACTTTAAAAAATGAGACGTGATGTTATCGACACACACTTACATACACAAACTTCGTCAAACTAGCGTCCGCTCAGGGGATGAACAAAGACAACATGAACTGACTTTTCAATCAAACTGAGGCAGACTGGTCAGCTGACAAAGATGGCCGTCAAACCCACGCCAACGAGTCACAAGGGCGGAGTTCGCTTCTTTTTTGGTATTATTGAACAAAAGATTTGAGATTTCAACTCCAACCCGTCATGTGACAGCGCTCGCTGGAGCGTAGAGGGTGGGAACGCCTGGAGGGATGACCAGTCCGCTTGCTGTTGTTGTGGTGACGTCATGGACACGTGTTGGTGATTGGCCATGCTGGTGGGGAAAATACACAAAGGCTGTGCAACAACGACCATAATATACATAATAATAATTGCAATAAACAATGTAATAGTTTCAATATATATATATATATTTTTGCTAAACTTGTTACGCTTTTAAAGCCTTTGTAAATAATTGTGTAAAATAATTATGCCCTTGACTAACAGATTTTTCCTTCAGCGGTAGCTGGCTGTAAGCGTGGGTTTCGGTTAGGGATATGTTAAACTACTTTTCAAACCACTGTTACCCTGGGGCGTTGTGGGTACGGCACTGGCCCTCTTTGTCCTTTGTGTCGGAAACGCTTGTGGTGACTAATTATTTTGTCTGGACTGCTTGCGTCTTAATACCTTAACACGTACCGACGGTATTTGATAACCATTTGATTTTATAATCTCTTGGCGTGTCGGGAGGTCCACGTTTCGCCGCAATTACGTCACAGCGTGTGCCTTTGGAAAATAAGAATGATCATCAAAAATAGTAAATAACAAGATGGGCCACTCAGCCAAAAAAGTGTCCGCAGGAAGTATGCTCTTTGCTTCAGATGGCGCTGCAGTCTGTTTTGAAGCTCTCTTTCGTTTTTCCAGAAGAAGAATAGGAATAGCACCTCCTTGCGTGCGCAGATCGACTGCTGTTCATCAGCAGTTCGGGTTCGTTCAGTACGGAGTTTTAGCTTTTTAAAATTTTAATGACCTCTCGCCTTTCATTCTAAAGTCAAATTAAACGAAGAAAACAATCACCCTTTCCTCTGGAAGAGGTTTTTTGTCAGCGTAACCATTTTAAAAGAGCGTTCTTCCGAAATTCATTAAAAAACTTGCTAGTTTCACTTTGATTTTTTAAACTCAAGTAGGATAACTCTGTTCGCAAAAGGTGCGCTTTTGTGAAGAGGGCGCCACCGAATTTTGAGGACACTTTTTAATTGGCTCAAAGAGAGAAGTGGCCCATCTTGTTATGTACTATCGTTGTGATCATTTCGCCGCAGATTGAATTCGATTACAACTTGATTTAATTTAGTAGGTTGCGAGTATGCCCCTGCTCACCAACTGGGATGTGGAAGAATGACTTCGAGTAGGACGGGTTTATATAATGGCATGACAGTGAAGATAAAAAATGTGAGGTCTCCGGTACAGAATCGGTGAAAACATCTGCAGTTGTTTTAAAAAATGCTTTAAGCTCAAGTATTTCTCGATGTTGATTTGCCTTGTATTGTATACAGGGCTGATAGGGGCTGTTAGTTTGCAATGTATTAGTTAGTTGCTAGTGATCGTTGAGTTTTCTTAGGAAAAAGAATATGTTTTGGAAGTAGGAGTTTGAGCAGGATGGATTTATATAATGAATGTGTTTCATATCTTTGTCTGTCGTGCATCTCGCGTTGCATGTTTCAATAGCGCATTTCCACCTTTTGCTGTTTTGCTGATTCTTGTTCAAACGAAACTCGAATCTTGAAACCGCAACAGCTTGGTGCCCCCTTGTTTTAACCTACGTACATGTACATTTAGTTATACTTCCTGCTCCATGTCGACCGAGAGTGATTCTACATGCCAAAACTAGAAGAATTTATAGGTGTTTCAACACAACAACACGCTACACTCTAACTAAAATGTTTTGTTCAAACTGGGCGGCCATTCTGTATGTGAAAGAGTAGGAATGAGCAAGGACGAGAGTTTTTGTTTCGAATGGGGCGTAAAAGATCTACTTTGATTTTAATTTAAAAGATAAAACAAACGCCATTGCTGGACACTTTTTTTTCTAAAAACGGAAACCGCCTCCTTATGATTTAAGTTGTGCCTATGAAAGCGTAAAACACTTACAATTCATTTTAAAAGTTCCTACAGAGAGTCGCAACCACAACTCACTACAGACAGGCCAGTCTAAGAACAGCTTGCATGGGAGCCCTGCAAGCTCTTTAATAATAAAAAAAAACCCAACTCAAGTTCAGGATTTCACAGTTGTAGATTCGAACCCTTACTATGTGTACCTAATCGAGCGGGATATAGACTACATTTTGTGATTTGACATTTTTTCTAGAGGTCTTGGGAAGAGTTTAATTATAAACAACTGGATAGGAAAGCAAAACAAGGAAGCGAAAGCGACAGAAAACCATAATAAATTAATGCTTTTTCACTTCTGCCCAGTATCCAGAGGTGTTGTCAGGTGTGTGTGTGTGTGTGTGTGTGTGTGTGTGTGTGTGTGTGTGTGTGTGTG